TGAAATAAATGAATAATTTTTTTAATTTACTTTAATGGTTTTTATTCATTATTTTGAAACCAAGACACCCTCAACTGAAAAACGGACATAGCAAAAACTGACAAAGAACATCATGACACATTTCAAGCTAAATAAAGCATAGGATGCACATAATGTTTGTGTGATATTATAACATGCTTTCCAATAATAGGCAAAATATGATATTTTTGAAGACAATAGTTAGAATAATTATAATCAATGGACATCAAAGGACATGGAATGTACCCTAAATTGTAGAATTACTCTTAAGATAACTGAACCACGTGATAACAGCTACTAAGCTACGTAAGCTAACGTTAGCTCGTTGGTTTCAGCATGTCAGTCAGTAATTGTCTTGACATGATAAAATACTTATTTTCAGTTCACTATAAGCTAAATATAACAACTATACACTTTTGTGACATTAAATACGAATATTTGTATCTTACCGGAGGTTATGCTCTTCTTTGTCCTTCGGAAGGCTTGAAGCAGACAGAGACTGAAGGGAGGGTCCTGTCCGTTTATATAGAATATAATCTGATGAACGTAAAACAATGAAGCTCAACCTTTATATATACAGTCTATGAGCTCAACAGATAGAGTCATACAGGTTGAAGCTAAACTAACAACCAATCACATGACGGTGTTTTCCTCCTCAGAACATCGACTCAGCCAATCTGGAGCCGGTGAAAAACCACGAGGCTGTTTTCAATAACGTATCAAGATTATTACCATCACCTGTGTGTCTCCTCTGTCCTCAGTGGGTTCCTCGAGGGTTCGGTTGTCTGTTATTTGTTATATTTTTAACACTAGATGGCGCAGTGGGGCAACAGCATAGCATTGATGTCCCTGGTACAGGTGTGTGATATGGGACTGGGAAGAACAAACTGTTTTCTGACCGTGTCGCCGAGCACAAAATATACAAAATAAAATGGTATTGAAAGCAAAAAACTTCGTCGTCAATGGAGATTACACTCGTCCTACTAAATCACCCAGTTTAGCAAATCCCTCTGTGATATTGAGTGGCAATAGTCACCACATTTAGGACAATGAATATATGGCAATCTACAGTGAATTATATTTTAAAATGGAGAGCCGTGCAGACGTGTGCAAAATGCAGAGAGCTTAGCCTGAACATGGCTCACAGTATTAAAAACAAGATGTTGTTCACATGATGTACATTAATGTAATGTTATTATGGGGTGGATACCAGTCACTGTCAGTGGGAGTCCTGGGCCTTGTTGGACACTTGAGCTTTTGCTTTAGAATAAGCATTTTCAAACTGGTTTATAAATTGGGAAAGAAATATGTGGACAGTCATTAATACTTACCCTTATCTTATCATTCATTGCTTTAATAAAAAACAGATTTCATGGCTTCTTCTGCTTTCTTCTTAGACGCCAACTCCACTTAACTCGACCCAGACTCAAAGCATCCTGTGGTGAGTCTGTTGTTAAATTCAGGAAGGATATAAGTTCTATTTTTACCTGGAAATTGCATTAAATTCAGTTTGACCGTTTTGTAGGCACATTGAAGAATAAATGAGACTAAGGAAATAAAGTGATGTGCAGTAGAGCGATATTTATTTACTATGAGGGGGACATGTGCACCTGATGTAATAAAAATAACTGAATTATGCGCAAACATTTTGGTATTCGTGAAATGTTTTAAATTAAACCCTGAGGTTAAAGTAGAAGCCCTGGAGCTATAGGAGCTGCACACGGCTCTCATACAAGGATGGGTTAAATGTACAGACGTGGCCAAAAGTTTTGAGAATGACACAAATACTGCAGCATGTTATGAAGAGTGATTTGCAATTTATTTCAACATCCCTCTTTGCTATGAAAATGAACTTAATCCTGAAAAAGGAGGGAGGTTCAATTGTTGTGAAGAAGGCTTCAGGGCGCCCAAGAAAGTCCAGCAAGCACTAGGACCGTCTCCTAAAGTTGATCAGGAGCAGGATCGGAGCACCAGCAGAGCACCGTTTGATCAGGAATAGCAGCCGGTGTGAGAGCATCTGCACACAGTGAGGAGAAGACTTTGGAGGATGGCCTAGTTTCAAGAAGGGGAGCAACGAAGCCCTCTCTCCAGGAAAAACATCAGACACTGATATTCTACAAAAGGTATACAGGGATTGGACAGTTGAGGAGTGGGGTAACGTCATTTTATCTGACGAATCCCCTTTCAGATTGTGTGGGAAGTCCAAAAGAAAGCTTGTCCGGAGAACAAAAGTTAACGCTACCATCACTCCTGTGTCATTCCAACAGTAAAGCATCCTGAAACCATTCATGTGTGGGGTTGCCACTGTATTTAAAACTATTTGGCATTGCAATGACAAAGTAACAGGAAATCACTCTTAAAAGTTTAGTATTAGTCAATGACCACATTACCTGTGCTTCAGTTTGATATTTAAGCTAGACATGATAGTGGGATATAAAGGACAATTTCAACCAGATTTTTCAAAAATAACACATGCATTTTTTCATTAAAAACAAGCCCTCAGTATGTGCTGTGTCTGGAAGTATTTTATCATTTTTAATGTTATGTATTAACTTGGTGAACTAAGCATCCAATGCTTGTTGCACCATAAGTGTTGTGAAACATTCATCACAAACTCTAAATGTCCTTCACATGTGTAAATACAAGAATATCAATAAAGGGATTCTCAAAATTGTTCTGTGTAAGATGTTTATTTCAACAATTGTTTCGGAGAGAAACCGTTCAGCTGCACAGTTTGTAAGAAATCCTTTACAGAGAACTCTGACGGTACTCGTATAGCACTTTGTCCAGTCGCTACGACTCTCAGAGCTTTACATCCTCCTGTCCTCCTTCACCATCTTGCTGCTGCCTTCAACGCACTGCACCTGAGAATACAAAGAAACTACATTTAGTGAAATTCAAACACTTTTTCTAAGGTCATTATTTAAGAGCTAATCTCAGTCCCATATCCGCGAGTTTCATCCAACAGTCCTCTTGTTTTAAATTCATCATAGATCAGGAATTTATGAAATGATGCAGACAAATCTCCTTAAATACCTCATGTTACATGGAGCCTCTGCATCCCAAGGACATCGGATTAGATCTCATGGGCAGATTGATGCCTGCAGGAAGAGAACAGCATTAAAACTAGAGAATGCAATTCCTGAAGAAATTGCTAGTGGGAATGCTTTATGCTGAAAAGCTGACGCTAAACTGCTATGCTGAAATGTAATGTGTAAGAAGAGAGTGAAGAATTTAGATTGAGATGCTACATGAACACTGGGGGCTTGAATGTGTGATGAGAAGAAAAGAAAGTAAAAAGGCTTGGAAAAGCAGCAGAATATTTGAAATGCAAACTTTTGAACTAACTTGATGGCGAATGATCTGTCGCCATGCCAACGGCATTTGATGCCTACGGCATTTGATGACATCTCATAATACGCTTAGATGCGTTGATGGCTGTGTTACCAATTAACTATGGACAATCATGCGATTAATCGCGATTAAATATTTTAATCGACTGACAGCCCTAATATATATATTATGCACATCTCTCTGGAATTGTAACTTATACAATGTTTCTTTGGTGTAATAACATGTATGTTTCTATGTAAACCTTAATACACTATATTCTAGTTGAGTATGTAGGCCTCAGTGCTTTGTGTGCAATTACAACTTGACCTTTTGTTTCACAGTTGTCTGTGCAACATAGGATGATATTTTCAAAGCACTTCATGGTAAATTACATTATATCAATGTTTTAAAATTGTTGATGTATGATGTTACTTGCTTAAAACATTGTAAATCTGAGTATAACGTCCCTCGTTGATGAACCCTTGAGCTGTCACCAATTGCTCAATCCCTGTGGTCAGATCCAGAATTGGCACCAGGGTGGAGGGAGGTGTCAGGAGGGCCTTGCCTTCCTCCTCCAAATGGCCTGGAGCGGGGCACACATGTATATGGCTGTGTTTTTTCTGCTGAGCATGGATTTGGCATGAGCAAATTTGGTATGACCAAATTTGCTCATGCCATAATTCCTTACAATGTAAGTTTGGCCCTCGTTTATTTGCTGGAGCAAATCTTCAAAAAAAACACATTTCTGTACAGTCTGCCCGTCTGTGACCGCAGCTGTTCGGTTTCGATAAACCTGTGTGGCCTTGGCACCCTCTCCATCGAACTCCCACCTTTGTACTTTTGTGGTGTCTTTCACCGCCAGAACCTTCACCTTAATTTATGGGAGCCTTTCATAAGGCTTAGTGGCCGTTCTAAAGGTTTTGGACAGAGACATTCTGAAAAAAACACAAGATAATAAGCAACGTATTAATGATTTCATAAAATACCAGAGACACCGTACTATTATTTCATGACATTTAGGTTGAGATTTTAGTTGTTCAATTAAAATATACATATGGGACGTGCATTAAATGCATAGTAAAACTGTTTATCATCCTGATAATCAACTACTCTAGTATAATATTGTAAGCCAACATTCAGGTACGATAGGGGCGCAGTGCATATTTCACGTTGGCTTATAGCCTGCTATTAAACGTAACAAAGGAAGTACTTCCGTATCCGGCATATCTACGCCCACGCGACGAGGAAAGCGCTATGATAGTTATGTGTTATGTTAGGAACGGCTTTCCTCAGTTGTTCAGGGTTACATGGAGGTTGTCAGCACAGGAAATCAGTGGATTGACAGATTGATACATCATTACAACTGAGGACACCCATAAGAAATTATTGAGTGAACTTTTTTTACACAAATTGTCTTCGAGTCAAGTTGCATTATTATTGTTGGAGGTCAGTGCCTCAATTAGTTTAATGTTAGTTCCTGTGTTTTAGTCCAACTAGTTCATCAGATGTTCTACCTCAGACTGTGGGGGTGCATTGGGGGAGAGGGATCACTCTGGAGGAGACCTTAGCCCTCTCCAGTCACCCTGCTCCGTTCCTGCCCCGCCCTGCCATCACTGTAGCCACTTTATTCCCCAGCAGGGAGGGGGGGGTGCCCCAGTACCTGAACAGGGCCTTGTTATGGCGCAGTTCCACTACAGCGCGGAGCTCGCTTTAAGCGTGCCGTGTCGTGCCCGTTTTTGGTTGCGCTTCCACTAGGCCTAGTTCCGGCCCGGCCTAGTGGAAAAAGCGAGCTCCAACCTGAAGAAGAAAAGGGCATTAGCTTCAATGATCAACAGAACTTTGGGGGAGGTACCATGAGAAATGGAATACTCAGGAGGACCATCAGGACCGGAAGTATCAACACAGATTCAGGGGATTGACAGATTTGGTAAACACATCATTGGTCCTAGAGTAATTTATATACAGTGAACACATTGCACTTTAACTCACCACTTCTCAGATTAAATCTGGGGCCACTTGGGCCATCTTGCAGCGCAGGTACTCCTGCAGCCCGAGTGGATATTCAGCCAGAGCCACCACGCGAGTGGAGAATCTCTCAATGGGTGAGATGTCCATACCTGAAGGATAGATTAAGAAAATGTGTTAAGCAGAGGTTTACTACCATTGCATGAACCATGTTGTGCAGTGGGTTGAACTAGGGCTGTGCAATTAATCATATTTTAAATCGCAATTACGATTTTGTCCTGCCACAATTACAAAAAAACGATTATTTTGCTTTGCTAGGTTGTGACAGTGCACTGCAACATATTTGATCTAATTTATTTTTATTTATCATATTTATGTTTAGTGGCTTGTGGAAGTGCGCTCAAATATTTGTTGATCTTGTTTATTGGTATTTAACATTTATTTTGGTTTTTCAGTTGAACTATACGTTCAGGGTAAACAGTTAAAAAGATACAGTTCAAATTATTATTTGTATTTGTTTTAAAGGGCCATGTCATGCTTTTCCGGTTATTACCCGTCCCCTTGTGTGTTGAAGGTTTTTCTGCATGTAAACGGTCTGCAGAGTCACAAACCCTCAAAGAACACCCTGTAGCGAGTACAACTCTAATGGCGCATTTCCACTACACGGTCGGCCTCGGCCACACTCGGTACGGCTTGGCCGCGTTGGGCCGACTCACTTCATGCTGCGCTTCCATTACAGTTTAGGAACTGGGGTAGTTACTATAGTAACGCAGTGTAGGCGGAGCCGTGACGTCATCTTCAATGAGAAATCCAGAAACACAACACAGCCGTTAGCTGTTAGCACTCAGAGCTCACAGCTCCTTATATATGTTCAGAAACTCGACAAAAGTTAAACAAGTACAAACCACAGACTGCCTGTGTCATGGTGAATACAGTCGCTGCTTTATTTATGTCTGTATAGGCCGTTGTTGTGAGTGTGGACGGTCGGGGCATATACTGCGTTAGCTTAGCCAATCTCCATCTAGAAAAACACGAATTTTAAAAGGTTTTTCGCCTGCCGTCTGTCTGCAGACTTGACAAAGCATTAATTCATGGTTTTTACTAACCGGTATCAGTATGTTGTTACTTCGGCATCATTTTGAAACGTGTATTACAATTAAATCACGGTCAAATATGTCCATCTTGTTGTAGTTCTAGCCCTCTTGCCAGCGCTCCTCTCTCTAGTTTAGCATACTCAGCCCGACTCAGCCCTGTTTGTTGGCCCCGATAGAACCACAATTTTCTAGGGCCAGAAAAGAGGTGAAAAAGTGGCCCCGCGCCGTGCCGGTAATTGGCCTAGTGGAAGCACAACCAAAAAAGGGGACGGCACGCTTAAAGCGAGCTCCGCGCTGCAGTGGAACTGCGCCATAACACAGTCTATGCTGCCCCAAAACGCCTCGTTGGAGATTTCTCATTTTCCATCGTTTACTTCCTGGGTACTGTGACGTGTGAATACACCCTCTGCCAGCATTTCACGAAACAAAGCTTCACAAACCTTTCAGCGATTCATGCCGGATATGTACAGCGTAGGGCACTGAAGAACGATGCTGTTCCTACTTTGTTTGGACCAGCGGGAGATTCGGGTACACAACCTGTAAGTATTCATTGTTGTTTGTGTATTTATGATGTTTAAAACAAACAAGGTATCTACCACGACTGTTGAAATGGGTAAACGTTTTTCGGGCTGCTAAGCCATTGACACAGTGCTAACTGGGCTAACTAAGTTGCTAGCGTTTCCATATATCAACTCGAATGTCAGCAGATGGCCTTACATGTATCTCATAGCAGGAGAATGTCTGCATTCACACACGAAATACTCAGACAGTATACTCCGGGTGATTTACCGTACGGTCAGTCACGAAACTTAATTACATTATAGTTGGCGTTCCTAGCGTGTATGCTACCGAGCTAAAAAAGAAGGCTACCAAGAGCTAGACATGAGTTTGCTAGGGAAAACATTGTTTTTATGCCAGCTACAATGAATGACCGAACGTAGCATACTACCCGTATAAGATTGCAATTGTAAACATGTTCTTGCTAGCCTAATATGAACCACGAGCTGTTGTCAGGGATGCAAAAGGTGACAAGGATCCGAGCCCCCCAACCCCACGGAATATCGGCTTTAAAATGAGGAATAACAGGATGTTATCAGTCAGAACAACTAAAGCAGCAGTGTTAATAACAGAAACGCCAAAGAGTCACATCCAATAGAAATATATAAAAGCATTTATTTTTAATTGTGTAGCAGTCAGTTTATAATTTTGGCAGCACTGTTGAGCATTTTGAAAATGTATTTTCATGCCTCTGTGCAAGGCTTAGTCTTTCTATCTTTATAGCCACTGGTGTAAAGTAACTAAGTTCATAAACTCAACAAGTACTATACTTGGGTACAATTTTGAGATACTTGTACTTTATGTATTTCAATGTTTTGCTACTTTGTTCTTCTACTCCTCTACAGTTCAGAGGTAAATGGTGTACTTTTCCTCCACTACATGTATTTAATACCTTTAGTTACTTTACAGATGTGGATGAATGATGTGAAATATAATCCAGTGTTAAATCAGACTTTAGTTCCACCTGGAGTAAATTCACAAGCTCCCCTGCAGTATACAAAGTCATTCAAACTAGCTGCACCTTTACCAGCTTTGAGAACACTTTCATGATCAATCATTATAAAACATATATATTATTCTGAAATGGACCAATCTGCTACTTTTACTGTTGCTACTTTCACTATATTTTGATGATAATACTTTTGTACTTTTATTTGAGGAACATTTTGATTGCAGGATTGTTCCTACACTCTGGTACTTCTACTTTTACTCAAACCTGAGTACTTATACTTTTACTCAAGTACAAGACCTGAGTACACATATATGTTGATTTTGTACATTTCTAAAAATAAAGTTTGATGGAAATACTTAATAGCCTTTCTTCCCTGAATTATTTGCTCCTATAACATATCATTCATATATAGCAAACCATGATTTGATTTTTCATCAAACACAGTAGTAGTTCATTATAGGTAAGAATAACTTACTCTTCTTCCGTTCTACGCCTCAAAGGTCCATAATCTAATCTGTAAATAGTATGGAGGTTCTGCAGGGTGTATGGTTGAGACAGTTTGGCTCTAGTCCTGGGTGGTGTACCATGCACATAATAGGTGCTGGGACTTGGTTCATTCGTGTTACAACCTATAGGAAGGTAAGATATTTGTAACATAACGCGTTTAGCAATTAAACCAACTATGGCAAGGTTTACAAAATAAACATTCAATTACTAAGGAAGAAATAAAAAGTCTATTGACTTGACAAATATGTATGGTGTATATCTTGGCATATAATGTTGTGTGCTACTGTTGGTGTTTTCAGCTAGCTGGCTACATAATGTTGTAACTGTCAGCTAGGCTACCTTTTCTTATTTCTTTGCAACAGACGTGTTCCACTTCGGTAGGCATCATGGCGCAGTTTCCAAAAGTGCACCTAAATAACAACAGTTGTAGGTACAGTTCGGTTAGTTAGCGGACAAACTTGTTACTGTGATGAAGATACATGATGCAGTTCTATCATCTGAAATGTAAGAGCGATACTAAATAAAAACGTTCCACTGTGAAACCGTCTGCTCTAGTTTGGGACGGTGGATCAGGTCTATCACGTTGGTCTGTCTCACTTTCAGGATCGGACTCCGGTTCAAACATATACGGCTGTACCGACGCCATTGTAAAACTGATGTTCCGCTCGGAGCCGAAAATTGCACTGTGTTGGACATGGGCGGAGCCCAGTCTCTGGTGGTTGACCAATCGGAGCACACTGGGCTCACAGGAGGGGGGGGCAGGAGCTCCAACAAGCCGTTTAGGACAGAGTGAATACACATACTATACAGAGATGCTGTATGAGAAACCAATGTGAGTTTGGAAAATTGCACAATATAAATCTATTTTAGTATACCTCAACAATGGAAATATTGTTTCCAAATTGTTTCAAATAGCCATGACATGGGAACTTTAAGCAGAGGTTTACTACCATTGCATGAACCATGTTGTGCAGTAGGTTGAACACAACCAAAGAGATTTCACTGATAAGTCATTGCATTTGTGTTTGTTTCTCCCGACAGGATCCGCAGAGCGGACGGTGTGCCTTTACTACAGGTTTATGAGAGATTTTATTTGCCCCCCTGTGTTAATCACCAAGGACATTTATTAGTCCAGGGTGGGCAAATAGGGGCATGGTGTGTGTTTAAGTTTTAAATGCATGTGACGTGCACAGATGCCAACGTAGTAAAGATTAAATGAAGTTTGCGTACCCATGGAGGAACAGGATGCTTCCAGGATGGCCTGAGCCTTGGTGCCGTCCATCACCACGGCCTCCATGCTCTGCGGACGATTCTGACCAGCTCTGGGAAGTGGTATCCAGCTGTGCCTTGGAGGCAGCCAGGCCGGTGAGACCCTTCACCAGCGAGTGGAAGTGCAGACCTACAGGACAGACAACAGATTAGATGTGTTGAGTTCAGTGGAAGAGTGGCAGAACAGCATGTGACCAGCGCCTGTTCAGATTTTCAGTATGAACCTTCATGAGTTTCAGGGTTAAAAAAAAATGACATCACAACAGGAGTAAAAAACTGAGACAGGAAAATGATCCTCACTTCTGCTCATCTCTGCCACCACCTCTCCAGTCTGGATGGACACGGTAAACTCTTCTTGTAAAGATTCTCCGACCTTGGAATCTGAAACCCCCAACACGGCTTTCTTCTTCGCAGAGAGGGGCAGGTTTGTCTCTAGGAACAACTTCAGGTCACCATGAACCACACCTGCAAGGGAAGGAGGAAGATTACTTATTGGTCTGTAGAGACTTGGTTCAAATTACTCTTGAAACCTGCAGAAGAGCCATTTGAAAGATGCAACACATCATACATGGATCTGCCAGAAGAATCCTTTATTGTTCAGTTTATGATGGGCTACTGCTAATATGTGAAGGTTAACAATTGATTTGGTTTAAACCAGGGGCGTCGCCTGGACCTGGAAACATTCGGGGCTTAGCCCACAGTGGCGGTGTAGGTACCAGAATCTGTTCGGGGTTCGTTATGCTTACCAATGACGTCACGTATTGGCTGTACAGCAAACAAAGAGGACATTTTACACGGCCAAATTCTGCAAATAATATTAAAAAAAATAAAACAATCGACAGTACTGTAAACATATGTAAATAACCCAATTTGTGTTCTGTGAAACTGAAAAGGATATTACATTGTTTTTTGTTACTTTTGTTGCAGTTGTACGTCTTAAATGTAATTTAGGTTAACTTCCTGTGCTTTTATTTTGAAGGCGAGTTTAGGCTGTTGACAGGAAGTTGTTGCTATGGAAACAACATGACGGAGAAAAAAGTAATATCTTCTACATATAAAGACGTAGAAAGTAAAGAATAACGTGGCCTACCAGATCCGTTACAATGAAGGCTCGATAATCAGCTTGCGGCATATAGGTGTGTCGTGTGTGTGTAACAGGGTTATCAAGGTTGGTATAAAATCCTTGATAAATCGGAGAATTACGCCATCTGGTGTCACAAACAAACGTGTGCCTGCATTAGCTTTGTTAGGCATAAAGTGCCTCTGGATGCTTCTCTAAATCGAGCTTGTACCACTCATAACAGCAGCACCATCATAACTTTGAGCAACACATTTAAGATGTCCTATTCCATGTTTGTCAAGTAGCTGCTCTATTGTGTCAGTAATGGTTTTAGCATCAAATGCTGCAAGCTGAGAAAGTCCAAGGAACCTTTCTTTCACTGAGCCTTGTGGACTTACATATCGCACACAATGCAAGCTGCTCTGTGTGATTATCCCTTGCTTCATCCACCATTACCGAGTACATTTTTGCCTCTTTAATCTCAGAGATTATCCTTGCCATTACAACGTCAGCGGTGCTTTCAATCATATCATTCTGTGATGAGGGTGAGAGATAGGTCACACATGAAGGTGGCTTATATGTTTGCAGAAAATGATCAAAGTTTTCAAGAAGCTTCATGCATTCCATAAAATTACCCTCGTTATCACTCTCTCCTGCTTCGTTGTGCCCTCTAAAAGCAATCCCTTGCTTCCCAAGAAAGGCCGTTACTGCTGCTACGCGTTTCAGATCCTCCCTACGATCCTGAATCTCACTGACATTTGCAGCATGTAGCTGCTCTGTGATGTCCCCATGGACGTGGGTGGCTTTAAAGCTCTTCCAAAGAATAGTTGAGGCCTTGTGGATCAGTCAATCAGTTTCCAGCTCTGTCAAATAAATGAATTTCAAGATACACAAATTTGTCTTCATTAAAATGAGTGTCACCACTGTCACAAAATATAATACTAACCAATTGAAAAGTTAAATTTACATTGGAAACCTCTTGTAGATATCACTGTTAGAGTAGTTATCTGCCAATAGGACAGAATCATTCCTATACAAATGCAGTTTGAGTAATTCACTTAACACTTTAATATAGTAATTTTCACTTACTCTAATAGTCATCTTTCTGCATTCAAAACTAAGGAAAGCTGTACAATTTGACATGATAATGAGGAAAAAAGGCCTCCGACAATGCAGATCATTTTTTTATCATGAATTTTAAGATGGGTCAAGGCTTAATATTTGGGAGCAGAGTGTCCCTTGCCCCCCTTTCAGGAGCCACACTGGATTAGCTTTGATCTGAAATCTCTGTATATAAAAAGCTTGTTAGCTGGCTGTCCATCTCATAATGTTCACACAGAAACTAGCTGTCAATAGGAATATCATTCAGAAGAATTATAATTTCATGCAAAAATCTGTCACAAAAAGAGGTTGCACATTTAAATTCAGGTGTTGTTATGGCAACGTCAGTGGCCAAACAGCCACATTTACTGCTGCAAATACGTTCAAACATGCTGTCGACACAAAGCAGTGGCAACTATGCCACCATTTCAGCTGACTTTTTCAGAAATACTGTCACATAACATCCATATATTTCAGTGCTAGGTTGATGCTTAGCTAAGCTAACTATGAAACACTTTCACTGACAGGACTCAGGATCAACTGTGTACTGTAAGGTAGCTTCTATCTTCATGCAAGTCAACATTTCCCAGAGAGCTTTCTTTTAAATCACCAGGTAACGCTAAAAAAACACAACATTTAGATTGTATGACCAAGTGTTTATTTAATATCTCTGGCTAGCTATAGCTACTTGCTAACGGTTTAGCTTACCCCGCGATTCAAAGTAACGTCAACGTAGCTGTAATTTATGCTTTGCTTACATGTTCGCTTACTGGTGGTGTCTTTCCTCTGTTGCATTCACTGAACACGGGAAATTACAATTATGCCGTCCTCTAGGTAAAGTACGGTTAATGTATTATTGAAGGAGAATTTGTCCGGGGCTAAAGAAAAAACATCCGGAAAATAGCTGAAAATGTCAGAACACATGCATTCAAAAGGCTTTCCTCAGTTGTGCAGGGTTACATGGAGGTTGTCAGCACAGGAAATCAGTGGATTGACAGATTGATACATCATTACAACTGAGGACACAAATGCAGCCAAAAAAAGGAAATGATCTTGCCTTCAGAAATTGCACTGATGTTCTCCAGAGCACCCTGCGCCGACTTGAAGGGGAAGAAGGCAGCGAGGCTCACCACCATGCTGTTAAACTTGGCAATGCTCAGCACACTGGCTTCAACCTGGAAAAAAACAAAGATAATGTTACTACCTGTGATCCAGTCAGAAAATATCAATTGTAACATTAAAAGGCGCGGAGGAAAGACAAACCTGAAGCAGCAGCATGCCGAACACGTGGTTCTCATGTGATGTGTTAAGCTAACCTTAAATTTAGCAATTATACCCTAGCATCATCATATCTTCAGGTGTTTCATTGCATAATAAGGCAACGCAATGTTTGGTAAAATACAACTACATTAACATGCCATTATAGCTATTAACTTAAGCTAACTGCACCACGTGATAACAGCTACTAAACTACATAAGCTAACGTTAGCTCGTTGGTTTCAGCACATGTCAGCCAGTAATTGACATGATAAAATACTTAATATTTTCAGTTCACTATAAGCTAAATAAAGCAACTACACACTTTTGTGACATTAAATAAGATTATTTTAAGTTTACCGGAGGTTATGCTCTTCTTTGTCCTTTGGAAGGCTTGAAGCAGAAAGAGACTGAAGGAGGGTCCTGTCCGTTTATATAGAATATAATCTGATGAACGTAAAACAATGAAGCTCAACAGATAGAGTCATACAGGTTGAAGCTAAACTAACAACCAATCACATGACGGTGTTTTCCTCCTCAGAACATCGACTCAGCCAATGTGGAGCCGGTGAAATACCACGAGGCTGTTTTCAATAACGTATCAAGATTATTACCATCACCTGTGTGTCTCCTCTGTCCTCAGTGGGTTCCTCGAGGGTTCGGTTGTCTGTTATTGGTTATATTTTGAACACTAGATGGCGCAGTGGGGCAACAGCATAGCATCGATGTCCCTGGTACAGGTGTGTGATATGGGACTGGGAAGAATAAACTGTTTTCTGACCGTGTCGCCGAGCACAAAATATACAAAATAAAATGGTATTGAAAGCAAAAAACTTCGTCGTCAAAGGAGATCACACTCGTCCTACTAAATCACCCAGTTTAGCAAATCCCTCTGTGATATTGAGTGGCAATAGTCACCACATTTAAGACAGTGAATATATGGCAATCTACACTGAATTATATTTTAAAATGGAGAGCTGTGCAGACATGTGTGCAAAATGCAGAGAGCTTAGCATGAACATGGCTCACACAAGATGTTGTTCACATGATGTGCATTAATGTAATGTTATTATGGGGTGGATACCAGTCACTGTCAGTGGGGGTCCTGGCCTTGTTGGTGAAATGAAGTCCATTTATTGAACCAATATGAAGACACTTGAGCTTTTGCCTTAGAATAATAAGCATTTTCAAACTGGTTTATAAATTGGGAAAGAAATATTTGGACAGTTATTAATACTTACCCTTATCTTATCATTCATTGCTTTTATAAAAAACAGATTTCATGTCTTCTTCTGCTTTCTTCTTAGACGCCAACTCCACTGAATTCGACCCAGACTCAAAGCATCCTGTGGTGAGTCTGTTGTTAAATTCAGGAGTGAAATACGTTTTGTTTTTACCTGGAAAGTGCATTAAATTCAGATTACCATTCTGATCTCACCGCTGCCTCCTTCCTTCAGTTTGACAGTTTTGTAGCTAGGCAAAAGTAATAACTAAGTGGCTCGGGAAACCAAACATCAACATTTTGGGTCCATGGCCAGGAAACTGCCCAGACCTGAATCCCTTTTGAGAACTTGTGGTCAATCCTCAAGTGGCGGGTGGACAAACAAAAACACACCAATTCTGACAAACTCCAAGCATTGATAGTGCAATAATGGGCTGCCATCAGTCAGGATGTGGCCCAGAAGTTAATTGCCAGCATGTCAGGGCGAATTACAGAGGTCTTGAAAATGAAGGGTCAACACTGCAAATATTGCCTCTTTGCATACATTTCATGTTATTGTCAATAAAAGACTTTGACACTTGTGAACTGCTTGTGAATATACTTCAGTATACCGTAGTAACATCTGACAAAAAGATCTACAAACACTGAAGCGGCCAACTTTGTGAAAACCAAATCTTGTGTCATTCTCAACACTTTTGACCACGGCTGTAGAGTTTAAATGTAGTATATTTGGTCAAATACCACATGACTTCTGACCCAAACATTAGTCACTGGTTCCTCAGTTTGCAGCTGCCACATTAGTGAAATAAATTAGAATAACAAGTAGAAAGGTGGACATCTCCTGATGCAATGAATAAAACCAACCTATTTAAATCGCACATCCTCAAATGAAATGTGACATGAATATGAACCATGAAGTGGACAAGCCCTCAGCTAGCTGCTGGGTCTAAACTGTACATTATTGTTAGGACATGTACTTTGTTTTTGATCATTGACTTGGAAACAAGCATTAGGAGGCTTGACAAACCTTTATTGCTCATGCTGAACCAAAAAGTGCTGTGGCATCTTATTGTATGAGAGCAACAGTTAGGTGTTGCACTAGTAGCTGCAAACCACTCTTATAAAATACTAGGCGGGGTTAATTGTCAGGCTAAGTTTAGTATTATGCATACCCCATTACTGATGTCTGAAATATTACTGGTGCTTCAGTTAACTTTGAAGCTAGGCTATGATAGTCTCAAAATCATAACCATGAATTTAAAACAAGCCCTCAGATGGGTCTTAACCCAGGTGCTGTGACTGGAAGTATTGTATTAAATAACTTGTGAAAATAAGTGTTGGATGCTTGTTGCACCATAAGTGTTTTGCAATTGTATTCCCGAGGGTTACTGTTAAGGTTTACAAGGCACCATAAGAGGCAACTGAGGTCGTAACGTGGAAGTTTTCGGTTCGGATTGTATCGCATTCCGGAAGTGACGTCCTCTTCTTTCGTTTAATGGCGGACTACTAACCAACGTTGAAGGTGCGTGTCGCCAACTGCTGCACCTGAGGGCAACTTTCTCACATATTTAAAGGGGACCTATCATGCAAAATGCACTTTTTGATGTCTTTTATACATAAATATGTGTCCCCGGTGTGTCAGGGAACTCACGCAGCGTCAGAAAATAAAACCCTCTCTCTTTTCCTCCGTACCCAAATCTCTAAAACGGGGGAACAACGGAGCTGATCCAGATTTGCGTCCGATATGACGTAATATCGGAGATGTAGACTGGCTTTACACCCACGGCCCTATCAGAAACGTTGCTATCAGAAACAATGCCCGACTGTTTTGGAGGGGGTGATGAGGAGCTCAACGCTCGTGAACTGTCAACAGGAGGGCGGGGGGAGCCTCGCTGCGGGGAAGCAGTGTGTGGACCTGTCAGCGCAACTTACATGATGCCGATTTTAATAAACAAATTTAAATAATTGGTTTAAACGGCATAATAAGGACGATCATCCGTTCTGTGATTCTCCAGAACACACAGATGGCTAGTCCGCCCCTTTGTAGCATATTATTTAGATCGCCACTGGGCTTTCAACTAAAGACACAGCCACGCAAATCATTGTGGGGATTTTAAGACCGCGAAGAAGCAATACGAAATTGCGTAAACACTGTTACAAGTAAAAGTCCTCCATTTCAAATGTTATTCAATTTAGATTGACATCTAAATAAAATGATAAGGGCATCACAAGTAAAAGTACTTGTTATGAGTAATGGCCCATTTTAAATTCCTGTATTATGGATGATGATTATTAATGCATTAACAGGCCTATCATAGCTGTTAAAGGTTGAGTTCATTTGAATTACTTTGTATACTACTGCTCTTAAACTATATTATATGTATGTATTTGTTTAGTTTTACTTTGTATTATCTGATAATCTGAAGTAACTAGTAACTAAAGTTGTCAAATGAAGGTACTGCTCTAAAAAGTATAATGTCGTCTTCAGAATGCAATGGAGTACATGCCCTTTCTACCACTGTCAATATTAGTGCAAAGGGTCATTTCAACATGTCATCATCATGCTCCTCAGGCTTGCTTTTATAGTAACCATTTCACTTAGTCACTCAGTCAGTACTGTACTCAAGTGCCTTTTCCAGATGCGACCTGAGTTTTTTCATTTATATTTCTACTTAACTACATCATAAAGGGGAACATACCTTTTACTACACTACATTTCTGACAGCTTTGATACGTTTAGTGCCAATCCAGTGAAATCTATGTGCAGTCTGTTCAACGGACCTATCATTAAGTTGAGATTCTATTTCTTGATCTGCTGCTATATATTAGTTTAAGGAAGCTTGGGATCTGTGCTATGGAAGAAATACAATTTTCTATAGGTGATTTCCGTATGTATGTAATAATTGTGCAGAACACCCAAACACTGGGGTGACCTATGAGGAGTAAGAGATGGTATATCAAGTGTTCTCACTGCGTCTTAGTTAAAGCACACGTTAACAGCACATTGAGACAACTTGAATTGATCACATTGTATATATATGCTACTGCTGAACCAATATCTTTAAGTAACATTATGAGGGCAATCAAAAGACAAAACACTGTTATCAAAAATGTTATTATTTACAAGTGGTTTAACAAATACAACGATTAGTGCATGGTACATACAAACATTAAGAAAATACATTATAAACAAAATATGGAATGTGTTTGATCTTTTGGGGTTTGGTCTTCTGATTAGTAAGATGTTAGAAAAATTGAAAGCACATGCATTACATGTTACTTGTTAGACGCTTGTATCCAAAGCGACTCACATACTCAATACTGTGGGCAATCCCCACAGGAGCAATTTGGGGTGAAGTGTCTTGCGCAGGGACACAACGACATGTTGACTGCAGTGGGGTTTGAACCTGTGACCATCTGATCCCCTCATTGCTATGAAAAAGAAAATACAGAAATATTATCAAACCACAATATATAATTTAAAACAATCAAAAGTAAGCGTGCACAATTTGTAATGTGTTTGTGTGTGTCTTTTATATTGCAAAGTACATTTAGCGGTTGCTTGAGATCATCTGATCTGGAGATGCAGCCGCTGGCCCCTGAAAGGGTCAGTTGAAAAAAAGTTAATATCCATTCACTCCAAGTCACGGGAACACAAAATGGTAGGGAATGATGTTCAAAATGAGTATGGAGGGTGGAAAACAAGCACTAACCTCTAATTAAGAGTGCAACAATTGTTAATACCAACAATAATATTGGTAATATGACAAAGTAATGACTCCTTGAAGAACCTCCACAGACAACATCGCTGCTCCTGCTTCCTTCTTTCAGCTTTACCTGGGTTCCTGAGCACCTGGGAAAAGAGAAATGAAAAACAGATTCAGTACTTTTGTGTTTGAAATTAAACTTGAAAAATATATACAATATTTTTAGGCAGGTGTGAAAAAAATGCTGTAAACTAAGAATGCTTTCAAAAATATAAATTATAAATCTTTATTTGTTATCAATTCACAAAATGCAAAGTGAACGAGCAAAAGAAAAATCTAAATCAAATCAATATGTGGTTTTACTACCCTTTGCTTTCAAACCGGCATCAATTCCTACAGGTACACTTGCACAAAGTCAGGGATTTTGTAGGATTACAGTCAGGGGTATGATCAACCAATTATGATCATCAGTTTTACATGTAGGTTTAGGCTGGAGCCACATGGAGACGATAACGAAAACTAACCGAATTCGATATCAAAAAAGTATTCCGTCCACACGAGACCGCTCGACCCGCTGGAGACCACGCTTCATTGTTATCAGGAAATGATCGTATAGGGCGTTCGGCCCCCCAGAGCATTGCGTCTGCAGATCTACCCACCTTGGGACCCGTTATCGTTATCTGCGTTTCCCTGTCGGCCTCGTGTGGCCGAACCGTCTATAAGAGAGAGAACTGTAGCGGATACGACCCGTTTCGTCTTTGTGTGGCTGCAGCCTTAAACAGCTTTGTAGGAGGCTTAAAACTGGGTGAGGAACAGCCAAACTCTGCTACCAAGGTGAGTTTGTGGAAGATAGCCAAAAAGACATACCTCCGACATGGAAACAAGGCCAAGCGACTCAACTATGCTGGAAAACATAGGAACTGTGATGCAGATCAATGCCAGCTTGTGCTCTCGACTGATTGAAATAATTGACTACAGAAGAAGGCAGTTTGTTCACAAAAGGGCTGGCGAAAATGTATTCTGCAGCAGGACAACGACCCGAAACATACAGCCAATGTCATTAAGAACTATCTTCAGCATGAAGAAGAACAAAAAGTCCTGGAAGTGGTGGTATGGCCTCCAGAGCCCTGATCTCAACATCATCGAGTCTGTCTGGGACTACATGAAGAGAGACAGAGGGATTTGAGGAAGCCTATCCACAAAAGATCTGCGGTTAGTTCTCCAAAATGTTTGGAACAACCTACCAGTTTTTTTCACACCTGCCTAAAACTTTGACACAGTACTTTATACTTTATAATGATGTTAAAAGTACAGAGAAGGACACTGATTAAAAACAAATCAATATTAAAATGCAAACATTTGGAAAAGGTCTATTGAGAGTTATGTTTTGTGACCAAATCAAATAAAACTGGAGGATTGGCAATGTTTGAATCTCCTGTGGATGGGAAAGATTCGTCCATCACACATACAAATAAAGCCACAAATCACCACTTTTTTGGAGATATTATTGCAGAAACAAAGTGGTCATTTCATGTTGCAGGGCAGGAAGAGCCCTACTTGTTTTAGTAATGCCATAAAAAACAAAGCCTTACGTTCTCCAGTCCGTGCAATTCACACCATGCTCTGAAAAGAAGCCAGACTGACAGGGTTCACACTGTACATCCATTCTTCTGGTTCCTTAGAGACAGGCACACAGGAGAGATTAGTCACACAGCAGCCAACATCCAGTAATGATCCATCATCACATCAGTGTCTTCATTTAGTGTTTTTACATTCACACTGCAGGAGATCAGTCCTCACTGTCTGAAAGTTCATTCAGGAAATGAAAACAATACATCTCCAGTCATAATTTTAAGATGAGAGTAATTTAAGGGTTATCTTTCAGGATGGTTACTGAAACGTACGAGGAGGTCATCATATCTGTTTCAGAAACCCTCAGGTGATAGCTGCAGGACTCATAAAGAAACTAGGAGGGGTTCCTGTTTACTGCCTGTCATGTGAGCTTCTGCACCTCGGGTTATAGTCCAGTAAAAAGTCTGATCAAAAGTGATGTATTCTATGTAATTATTATCTGATACTTTGTGTAATGTAAAAATTAAGATTTACATCAAGATCAACTTTGAGTAACCCCTGAGGGGAAGTTTAGTATTGCACTGGTGTTAGTTTATGAACACACACACCCAATATACACCGGCGACCCTTTGGCTTCTCAAGCCAAGTCCCTACAGACTGAGCCACCCCATGAGTAAATCCAGGATAAGCCTCAGACCAGGAATTCAGTGTGCATGTAAACTGTCAGGAGAGTGTGACCTGCATTTTACTTACCAGGTTCTTTTATCTTCTCACCAGGTACACATTGTGCATGTTTTTGTGCCGCACTGCATCCTGTCACATCTTTGCAGAAATACCCATCTATAACTTCACAGACTGTGTCAGTTGTTTCTGAACAGCCCTGCAGGACAGAGAGACCGTGGCCTAAAGAAACAAACAGATTGAAACAGTCAATGTATGCAAACCTAAAAAATATTTAAAATTCAACTCACACATCTTGACTTCATTTAAAAAAAAAAATATTGATATATATATCAACATGTTATATCAAAATGTTGATATATATATATATATATATATATAAAAAAAAAGTTTAATGAAATGTTAAAGCAGGAAATAAGAGAATTGTGGATGGAATATAATGGACGTCTTATTAAATGCACTTACAAAAAAGTTAAATAGCCTGTTATATTTCAGTCCAATCATTTGTCATCGAGTGACAGTTTATCAGAAAATAATGAAGCGTTCAATGGACTTGGAGTTTTAGAAAAAAATATTTAGATGAAGTCTACATTTATTATTATTGGTCTATATTGAATATGACTTCTCACTTCCCGCGGGCAGTGAGACTGTTAAAAAATTGAACTGTTGAAACAACTTCAAACATTCAACTGCTACTCAGTAGTATGTATCTAATACCTAATATATATATATATATCATTCCAATAACTTGTATATAGACTCATACTGCACTATTCCACATCATAACTTTATTTCATTTTTATAACTATTATTATTTTTGTATTGCTCTTGCTCTTATTGTTATTATGTTATGTTATTATGTTGCATTGTTGGAGAAGCCTGTGACATAAGATTTTCAACTGCATAATTACTCTGTAGCTATGTCAGATTGACAATAAAGAACCTTGAACCCTTGAACTTTTAATGTAACACTGTAGAAATCTCTTCACCCTTGCATAACCAATGCAGCAGCTTCTTGTTGACTAAATCTACTTTAACACATCCCACATCCCCCCCCCTACTTCCATCGCCCCTCTCCACATGTGAAGAGACCTGAAGCAGATCTGACCTGATGTTATGCATTTCCCTCATTTACTCAGAGATAAACATATGCTTACATAGATGTTTATATGCACATATGTTTACGTTTGGAACACAGTTGGCCTCTGGTCGATTTATTAGTTAATACATATTTGGGGTGATTATTAAATCTACACCGGTGTTGCAATTTAGGAATATTTCCATTATCAAGACTGATCAAATCCTTTAACTGAATTTCCCCTCAGGGATTAATAAAGTGATGTTAATCTTAATCTTAATTGATTACCTGTTTTGTACAGTGCCATAGCAAAGTGAGAAATGCATCCATCAAAGTTGACAAAGTCCAAAGACACCAAGATATTCACTGTTACTGTCATAAAAGATTACAAAGACATGATCATAATAACACATTAAAGACATACCTGAGTCACAGGAGGTGCATGTGAAACATTTATCCAGACAATTGGATTTGTTCATAAAAGTCCCGTTCTCGCAGCAACTGCAGAGTGTGCCTGAATCTGACGTGCAGTCTATCTGTACAACGGTCCCTGTTCAACACACAAACACTGTCAGCATCTCAACATCAAGACATGAAGGCAAAAAACAATTACAAAATGAAGATTAGAGTCAGTAACAATAAGTTTATCCCGTTTCAGGTCTCTGATGGAGCACTTCAGGGAGCAAAGCCAACTTCAGCTTCGGAAATCCCAGTTAAATTCATATTTTAAAATGCTCTTACTTACTTCTGATGTTTGAATACTTGTTACATATATTACCTTACCTATTTTGCACATCGGACAACATAGCCCAGCTCTTGTAGAATATTCCTTAGAAAGACAGTAGCCTGAAGCCACAAAGATCATACACCCTGTTGAGAAACAGCAGTTCATTGTAGTATGAGTCTGCGCTGTACATTCACATAATAGTGATGTGCCACTTTGCAATGTATACCATATATGTTTGGGTTTTAAGCTGTCACAATTGGGTGTTCACTGTTTGTGCCAGAGGGTGCGGCTGTACGATTCCCTATGGCACAGGTATTTAAGGTTGGTCACATAATAGTGATGTGCCACATTGCAATATCTATATATCTATATATCTATATATCTATATATATATATATATACATACATACATACATACATACATATATATATACATACATAAATACATACATACATACATACATATATATACACGTATATATACATATACATATATACACACACCTGTGATATATGATATGGTATAATACAGTACGGCATTAGTAAACATCACAGTTTTTTTATTGAAATTTGCGCCACATTGACTAACTACTATTGTAAGAGCCATTTTAATGAGTTCATGTTTGGGTTTTAAGCGGTCACAATTGGGTGTTCACTGTTTGTGCTGTAAGATTCCCTATGGCACAGGTATTTAAGGTTGGTTTTGTCACGGTATTGGGTGTAACAAATCAACAAAGGCAGGACAGTCAAAAGAAGCACCAAGGAAGAAAATGTATTAACAAGACTAATACCCCTTTCACACCAACGCAACTCCGGTTCAAGCTCCGTGCTAGAGCTTTTCAGGTTCAGAACCGGTACTTCGGTTTAGCTCCGGCTCTTTTCACACCGCTCAGAGCCCGACTGGTGCTGCCGCTGCTGCGTCATGACGTCACAGTTTACGTCGCTGATTTTCTCCCCAACGGAGCTCACCTCACAACAACAACGGGCCGGGGACTGCGTTGCTTTTAATCATACGAAGCCAGATTAAATTAAATAACGACTTCTCCAACCTTATACTTTTCTCCAGAGTGCCGTGGTTCATTGTTTATTAATGTGTTTCAGCGGCATTTACCGACCGCTGCAGTGCCGGCTGCTCTTCCACGAGTGTATTCTCCCGTTAGCTCCGGTGTCAGTACCATATGTGTTCGCCCTACCATATGTGTTCGGGGTCCGTCGCTTACCAATGACGTCACCCATTGTGATTGGCTGTACGGAATCGTAGTAATCAGCAGCGAACCGCTTCAACACGTGTATTTCAGTGTATTCACGGCATTCATTTTGTTATTCTACAGTATTATTGTTTTATAGTTATTTGTTAATGTAACCCAATTTGTGTTCTTTGAAATTGAAAAGGATATCGCATTGTGTTTGTTACATTCGTTGCAGTTGTATAGGCTATGTGTTAAGTGTAATTTGGCATGTCCTATTTATGGACATGCTTTTATTTTGAAGGAGAGTTAGCGCAGTTGACAGGAAGTTGTTGTTGCTTTAGAAACAACGTGACAGAGATTAACGGAGAAAAGTAATATCTACATATAAAGACGGAGAAAGTCAACGATAACGTTTATGGTTAAGTGTTAGCACCCCCCGAAGAGGCACAAGCTCTTACGTTGATATTGGAGATTTCAATAAATTCAATTTGAAAATAAAACGGGGAAAAAAAACAAAAACGAATATCTGAATAACGAAATTGAAACCCGAATAGTACTCCAACGAACGAATATTCGGATATTTTGGTACAGTAGGGCTGTACCCGAATAATATAATAAAGTTATAGTAAATAATAACAAATTCCAGTGTTAGAATTCCATAATTCCATATTCATAAATAAAATGATATGCAAATAACATTTTCTTGGCTGTGGACTTGTACTCTACATAATTATGTTGAGCTCATGGTAATCTAATTCAATAAACAATAACTGCAATGAACAGATAGCATTTTCTGACTCGTAAAATGATTGGATATGGTGTAATTTGGCAAATGATTCTGTGTTGAAAAATGTATATCTTTAAAAACTGCGTTGGTGTATTAGAGCGGGCCATACTAATTTTTCTTGTAAATCGATCGAGAGGGGTGTTCAAATAACGTATTTTGGTGTGTAGAACACAAATCTATTTAGATGCTTTTATTTTGAAGTTGTTGCTATGGAAACAACATGACGGAGAAAAAAGTAATATCTTCTACATATAATAACGGACAAAGTAAAGAATGAAGTGTATGTTTAAATGTTAGCACCCCCCGAAGAGGCTCAAGCTCTTACGTTGAGTCTGGAGTTTCAATACATTCGGAATTTGACCGTGTAAAATGTCCTCTTGGGTTACCGTACAGCCAATGCGTGACGTCATTGGTAAGCGTAACGGACCCCGAACACATCTGGTAGGCCGAACACATATGGTACCTACACCGGGTTAGCTCACACGGCTCTAAAGTATTCACTGTCTGACTGTCACACAGGCAGCTAATACATATCCCCAGTTCCCCTTAAGTGAATGTGTGTCAGTCTGAATTGACGCTGTTTGGCATCACAACGCTGTTATGAAAGTTTCTCTGGTATAACATGGGTGATGTTAGCATAGCAACCGAAGCTAAACTGACTACTTGCTAAGCCGTTTTCTACAGGCACTTTTTACCGGCGTATTTTTCATTATGATTCTACTTGTGATAGTCGGACATGACTACCCCAAAACACCGTTGGTGTGAATGGGGTATGAGACATACAAGACTGAACAAAACATTACATTTAGTAGGAAACATCCATACGGATTATGTGAACATTGCCAGGTCGAAGAAACGGTAGAACATGTTATTCTGTATTACAGATACAGGCAAGCAAGACAAACTATAAAAGACAGAAATCAGGAAGCTTGGAGTGGAACAGCCAACACTCAAAGAGATATTAGACATTTGGTCAGGGAGACTTTTATATTATCTAAGACGAACTGAATTAATACATGAGAATTTAACATTTTATTTGTCTTTCTTCTCTTTTTTGGGACACATAATTCTGGTCCACACTCAAAATGCGCTATTGCCACACACACAGAGAGCCGAGCTTGAATGACACAAGCCCACGTTTATTTCCATGCAACTCTCTGGTCTGGTGCAGGTCTGGTGTCATGCCTCTGTTGCATTCACTGAACACGGGAAATTACAGTACTGCCATCCTCTCTAGTGTCATGATGAGGTTCACGTAAAGCACGGTTAATGTATTATATTATTGAGGGAGAATTGTCCGGGGCTACAGAAAAAACATTCGGAGCTAAAGCCCCGGATGCCCAGGCCAGGCGACGCCACTGGGTAGAAGTACAAATTAGCTACAAAACGAAGTACTCGGGTAAAGTACAAGTACCTAAAAATTCTACTGAAGTACAGTACTTGAGTAAATGTACTTATTTACTTTTAACCTCTGGTACCTAGTGGTACCGCGTCTAGTTTGAGTCACGGGAGTAAAGACAAATGAACCCGTTGAAGTTTGAATCTCCGCTTCCCGTGTGAAGGCACCATAATGTAGTAGTGCGACGTCGTGTATCAGATGTTTTGATAAAAACACTATGTAGCTCGTTGTCTACATTGCTCTGGTTGGAAAGTAACGTTGTTAGTATTTTTAACGTTTTGTGTATGGGTTATTGATCCGTCTAGCTCAAATATGTCAGTATTTTTCTTACTTTAACAAACGAATACAGGTAGCTTTGCCAAGGTACGTCATGAACCCCAAGATACTCACCGAAGACAACAAACACTGCAAGCATCGTAACGCATGACTATCTATCTCAACTCATATTGACATTACGTTTTACTAACAAAAGCAACAAATATAAATTTAACAGATGGCCTACACTAGTACTGAAATCCGGAATGTCCCTTCTTCTTCTTGTTTGGTGTTTATTGGCGGATTGCAAAACAACTTGTAGGTGCATGACCATATGTGTTCGCCCTTCTTCTTCTTCTCTTCGTTTTTTGGCGGATTGCAAACAACTTAAAAGGTGCATACCGCCACCTACTGTACATGAGTATGAATCATCATATCATACCAACTCTTTAACCTATGATCTAATCTAAATAAATAAATAAATCAACAAAAAACAAAACATGAAATAAATAAAACAAAAATAAAAATCTATGTTCTTTCTTGACCTAATGTTAAATTCTTTTTCCTACCCCAGTTTCACTCAAGAATGTAAACAGTGCCTTTCTGGTAGCTCTTACTCCCTCTCCTTTTGTTCCCAAAATACCAGCCACACTCCATTCCCTCTCTGCCTCTAAAACTTTAGCCTTTAGTTTTTCTCTTTCCGCTTTGTATATGTCACAATGTATCAAGATATGTTCTACATCTTCTTTTACTCCACAGTTCCCACACTTGTCACTGTCACTTTTCCCCATGACATACAGCGTACCATTCAATGCTGTGTGATTTATTCTGAGTCTAGCGATCGTGATTTCCTCCCTTCTGTTTCTTTCTTTATAAATATGAATTGTAATTGTCTTTTGCACTTGATGATACTCTTGCCTTTCTGGTCTTTCTCCCACCTTTTCTGCCAGATCTCCATCCCTTTCTTCTTAATTACTGCTTTTCCTTCTCCTTTTCCAAGTTGAACTGGTAATGTTATTTCCTTTTGTAGTGCACTTTTTGCTAATTTATCAGCACACTCGTTCCCTTTCACCCCCTCATGTGCAGGCACCCAGCAGAACTGCAGATCTATGCCGCCTCTGTGCAATCTTAACAGGCTATGATTCAGTTCTATGAGAATGTCTTCTCTGGCAGTTGTTGTTGATTGTATGCTTTGTAATATGGACAATGAATCTGTGCACATCACCACCCTATCTGGTCTGACCTCTTCAACCCACTGTAATCCTATTATTACTGCCAGCATTTCTGCTGTGTACACTGATAATTGATCAGACGCTCTTTTTGAAATAGATATTTTAAATTCTGGGATGTATATACCAATTCCAACACACTCTTCCTTGTTCTTAGAACCATCTGTGTAAATTTGTAGGCAATTGTAATACTTTTCATTCAGATACATACTTGTTTTAATTCCCACTTCATTTACTTGCCACTCTTTTTTCCTTTCTACAATACTCATATCTATTTTAGCTT